CCACTACCCTGCCACCCTCTGCCCCCTACCACCTTCTGCTCCCTACTACCCTTACCCTGTCACTGCCCTCTTGCCACCTCGTGCCCACAGCCCCCCTACCACTTCCTGCCCTGTCATAACCCCCCTGCCCCAGGGGAACCCTACCACCCTCTGCCCTCCTACTGTCCTCCTACCACCCCACTACCCCGTCACAGCCCCCCTACCACCACCTGCCCCACCACCCCCTGCTCCAGCCCCCCACTACCCCTTGTCCTGTCACAGTCTCCCACCACCTCCTACCCTGTCACAGTCCCCCACCACCTCCTACCCTGTCAAAGCCCCCACCGCCCCCCACCCTCTCACAGCTCCCCTACCCTGTCACCCCACACCCATCCAATCACAGCCTTCCCACACACACACACTGTCACAGCCTTCCACTGCACACCTTGTCATTCCCCACCCTATCATTACCACACACACTGACACCCCCTTCACATACACCATCACCATTCCCAAACACTTTCAGACCCCACACACAGTCGCCCCCTAAACCCGGCCAAACTTACATAACCCATCCTAATCCTGTCACTCTCACCCACTGCAACCATACCAAACTCCTTGCTTTGCCACACCTACCCTATTGCATTAACCCCCCATCAATCCTGTCAGACTCACTTTCTCTTGCACTGTCACACTCACCCCCCGACCCTGTCACTCATCCTCTATCAGTCTGTCCCACTCACCCCTTTCACCCTGCCACACTCACCCTATTACATAAACCTTTACAATACTGTACTCCAACTGTGCAACACTCACCCCAAACCCTGTCACACATAGGTAGACAATGTCAGATACAGTCATATATACATACACCGCCACTTGTGTATATACGACTGGAAGGCTATGTAACCATACCCCTTAGTCATGTATAAACGATTGGCATAATTGCTAATTAAATTTGTTTATTGCAAATTAAGTTAGTTTGCAAATTATGCCATAACTACAGTCAGAGAGATCACAATGCAGCGGCACAGGGAGCTGCGACACTGCAAGCTTTTGAACGATGAATACAGAGACAAGCTCTCTGTATCCAGCACTGCAAGCTTGTCCTTCAATACAACTACAGCACCTTATACACACAATGCAACCCCTATTTTTAACTTTAGGTTTTAGTGGGGGCCTCATGTTTGAGTTTCGCCTACGGCCTCACAAAGTCTAGAGCCGCCACTGCTCCCAAGCCTCTCCACAAGTTATAATTTATACCTAGACCTCGCAGGTTGTTGAGAGATTGGGTTATTGTCAGTAGAGGTATGGCAAAAAAAGACATTCATTCAAGAGCGGAAAATGTTGTTGTGCAGGACAACAGCTTCTGACATGTAACATACTGACTGCTTATTATACTCTTCACCTTCGGGCTTGACACAGATGACATTTAAGCAAGTTTGACAGCTTCTGTTTAACATAATGTGTAGGCCAGGTAGAAACATGGGTTTCGCCACCAGAGATGTCTTTTTCCATCTTAGTAACGAACTCTGCTGTAGCACCCAGGATAATCACGAGTAGACTTTCTCTATAGGGTTAATCCAAAGTGGGTGTAGTAGTGACAACCCTGCAACTTCCCTTAGATGTAGCAAATGCCTTTAACAATTATTTTGTCGGATGCGCTACTGCCCTGATTGCCAAGCTAATCACACGCATCCTGAAACTACAAATGTGGATCAGGCACCACTAAATTTGCAAAGGCCCCATATAGACAAGTTCATTTTTAGACCTGTACCCATTAGTGATGCTAAAAACACCTAAATAATCTAAAAATGAAAAACCAGTCTGGACCTGATCAAATCCCAGTAATGCTGTTGAAGCTCAGTGCACCGGCAATTGCTAAACCCGTCGCAACCCTAATTAATGAATCCTTGGTGTCTGGATACATACCCAAACTTTGGAAGACTGCGAGAGTAGTGCCTATCCATAAAAGTGGTGACACTACTTTGGTTTCTAACTATCGCCCAATATCATTGCTCCCGGTATTGTCAAAAATCTTAGAAAAATGTATCCATACGCAACTATGTGAGTATTACCAACAATCAAACTATCTGACCTCTGATCAATCAGGCTTTCGCCAAAATCACTCCACTACAACAGCCCTCTTAAAAGTTTGCAATGACATCCAAACTGGCATGGGACAAGGAAACCTAACTGGAGCTATTTTCCTTGATTTTGCCAAGGCCTTTAACACAGTAGACCATGACATTCTACTGCAGAAACTCAAAAACTCAGGTATTGGTGATTGTTCGCTAACCTGGTTTCGATCGTATGTATCAGATCGCTCGCAATATGTGTCCATATCTGACAGCAACTCCCTCCCTCACCCTGTCACGTGTGGTGTTTCCCAAGGTTCCATTCTCGGCCCCCTACTATTTACATTATTTATAAACGATCTGCCTAATGTCTGCAAATCCTCAAATGTACACATGTACGCAGACGACACAGTGATCTATGTGAGCAAATCCGAGCTACCGCAGCTTGAGGCTGTGCTCCAAGACCAGTTTACAGAGGTAGAAAAGTGGATCACAAAAAACAAACTCTTCCTAAATACTGACAAAACTATCACAATGATCTTTGGAACAGTACCTAAATTACACAAATTACACAATTCCCACCTATCCATCAAAACAAATTCAAATGGCACACTGATCCACACTTTCAAATACTTGGGTATGATGTTAGACCCCAATCTATCTTTTGGCCTCCACATAGAAAAACTTGCATCTAAACTTTATCCAAAACTTGGTGCCCTGTACAGAAACAAATCCTGCATAAGCCCTACAGTAAAGGAAACGATTGTACAGCAAATGCTGATGCCAATCATTGATTATGGGGATGTAGTATATGCATCTGCATCGCAATCCCACATTAATAAACTCAATACATTGTATAACTCGTTCTGCCGATTTGTGCTACAATGTAATTACAGGACCCACCATTGTGACATGCTAAAACTAAACTGGCTGTCGCTGGAATGCAGACGCACCCTTCATCTTTCCAGCCTTGTGTTTAAGAGCTTTTCTGGGAAACTCCCACCCTTCCTGAGCAAAATGCTCTCCTCAGCTTTTCCCACCTCCCATAACCTCCGATCCAGTACCAGCACTTTAGTCTACCTCAATACAAAAAGAAAGCGGCCCGATCCTCCTTCTCCTACAGAGCGTCGCAATTGTGGAACGACCTCCAGCACACTTTAAAATCTTCCCCAAGCCTAGAGTCCTTTGAGAGATCCCTCTCTACATACCTTAAAACAGAATGCACATGTCATGGGTGATTATATATTTCCTACCTGTTCTATAGTACATTTTGTATATATTGTGTATTAATATTGTTTTTATATTTTGTATTTGTATTTTATTGTATCCTAATGTAACAATGCAATGTTTTGTGGATCCAGGACATACCTGAAAACGAGAGAAATCTCAATGTATCTTTCCTGGTAAAATATTTTATGAATAAATAATATAGCAAGTATAGCTTTACCCCACAAACATTAGTCGAGACTGAATGGCTGGGGTGAACTCCTTTACTGGAGGCCACACATAGCTTTTTATGCAACAGCCCCTGAAGGGGTTCTTACTCAACATTACAGGGTAATCCCTCTCATGATCCTCTGTGTCTGAGAGATAACTATTTAGAAATAAACATCTAAGTTAAATTAGCTCTCAGGTACAGAACATGTACAATTTGTATACACCCCAAAATACACACAACACAATCAGGTACCCCCTCAAGTCTTATATCCCCGGATAGCGTGGATCTGAGCGCCCAACATATCCAAAAAGCGCTCAGATCCCACAAACGCAGCTGAAACACCCCAGGAGTAAAGTTCTGACCGTCAGCACACTAGGCTCTTGCCCAAAATAGTTCCATGGAATCGTGGTTAGCTGTCGGTCTCTTTCGTGGGTATGAGAACACACAAAGTACCAAATGTAGGTCTTAGCCCGTATGCTGATTACGTGACCCTCATTCGTGGGGATGCTCCCACCGAACAGTGTTCTTTTTAGATGAGTAGAAACGAACGCAGAGAGGAGTGGAAGTTCAGCGGTGTTCGGGAGGTCGAGTGTTCGATTTTAGTTGCATGCACCCGACAAACCAACACAGCTGCTTGCGTTCGCGGCACAAGATGGCCACCACTATGTGTTCGTACGTATGAACAGTGACCACCCAGTCAACAGTTTAGATAACTGCGGTTACAATCATTTATGAGGTGTTGACAGGGGTGATGGAGGTTAACAAGCAGCATCCGGGTGGTCTGGTAGTTCGTGGTTTTGTATGTTACCCGAAGAAAACAAGAATAAACTTTAGGTAAACTCAGTTTACCAAACGAAACAGAGAATAAAAAGGGGGTTTAGTAATCCGGTGAGTATTAACATTGTGAGATATTTTGCAATGTTACATTATTACACAACATTATTACGTAACACAGAATATACTAGACAAACGTATCTGTATATGACTAAGTAATTTCCTAGCTGCGTTTCCAGTTTGTAATCTTTGTTCGAGGCAGCTGGTTATGAATCATGTCACACACAAAAAAAACTTCTAGTTCTAGAGACTAGTCATCTTCTCTATTGAGAGTGGCTTATGCAAACTATTAGTATGCAAATCCCTGTACTAGATTGAGTGGAGTGAAGGCTGGAATTCTAAGCACTATAACTATTTCAGCACCTTCTAGTGGCTGTGGTGCTGTCAATCTGTTGTTGCTGCTCCCAGTGTTCTGTCAAACTGATTTTTTGGGTCAATCTTCCTTTGCAGCCACACTGGTAGTTTGTAAATTCCAATCTCTGAATATCTTATTAAAAGGTTTCAGGAGCTGTCCATGGATAAGTTTCCTACATACTTCACAATCTTTCTTTCTTTAGATCCGAGATCAGTCTTTGTTTCTTTTAGATCTTCCCTTTCTTTTCAGTAGAATAGTTTTTAACCCTTATGAGGAGGTGAAGCTGAATTTTATATGACTCCCCTAATTAAGAGACGTTTAGGAAACTCCATCTCTTCAGCACACTAGTATAAGTTAAAATTTTAAAGTGATTTTTGTAAAAAAAAAATAACGTTAGGGCGTGCTATGCTGTCTTACAGAAGGAGGCTGTAACGCCATTAGGACGGCATAGCACACCCTAATGAATGGGCCTTCCTGGGAGCGAGGATACTCCCCTTCCTCTCCGGATCCAATCGCGGGGACTGCCTGATAACCGAGGCAGTCCCTCTGCAGCAAATCCTGATCATCCATGTCATGTTATCACAATGACACCGCAATCGCATGACTTGGAAAGGCCAGATTACGTTACCTGCAGAGTGACTGCCTGGGTTGTCAGGCAGATCCCCTAACATGTAATGCAAACAAGTACGTCATTGTGTAAAAATACAGTGTAAATATATACTATTAAATATATATATATATATATTAACATAAAAATACACCTAGAACAACAACAAATTTAAAAATAAAATATATACATAATTTAACTCTGTGTATATGTATATTATTTTTACATAACTATGTGATTTTATTAATTATATATTGATGGACCTGCCTGACAAGCCAGGCAGAAAGTCCAGAGAATTTAATTTGCAAGTCCTACATTTGACTGTAACTTTCCAAAACCCCATAAAACTAGTACACGGGGTGTGACAGATCCATCTGTGCAGAGACTGGTTGCTGGATTCGTCTGTTTGCCTGTTTTTGCCGTTTCGTGGAATTACCCGTTCGTATGCCTCTGTTCAGTGAATTGACTTTTTCCGCCGAATGAAACTACCGAACGGACGGCCACCCAGAAGAGAAGTGTGCTGCTGGTTAACCTATTGATCACAATTAGAACGTTGTGGTTAACCGCAGACACTTTTCAATTAAGAACCGAATACCGGGTGGTCGTCGTTCGTATGTCGACCACGTGGCGGCGGCCATTTTAAAACATGCGAAAGACCAGCGGTGTTCGGCATATATTTCATGGAACTGAAAACGGACACTCTTTCTGCCGAACACCGCTGAAGTCGTCGACCTCCCCTTCTCAATCGACAGAAGGATGCGAACACCGGCCGTTCGGGGGGTTTAAACATACGAATGGACTTACCCCAGATAGCCTTCCCATGGAGTCAATCGCAAACCGAAGGACTGTAATGGACTTTGACTCCATAGCGATTGAACTATGCGTATGGGTCTGAGCGCTATTCGCCAATAATGTGCACTCAGATCCAGGCTATCTGGGGATATGTGATACGAATGGGTAGCATTCGACAGAAGCAAAGTTATATATTTTTATGTGTTTTTCTATATTGTATTTAAAATGGCGATTTGTCCTTGTCCTGGAGATAATTGAATTACTTCTCAATTATCTCCAGGGCAGAGGGGAGGAAATACTAATGCATGCTGGGAATATTCTGTGTCTGTGGATCCTAACTTGCCATATGTCTGTCTGTTGTTACAGTCTCCCATTTGGTCCCCTAGGGGAGTGTCCACCAAGTGGGAGACCTGCATAAATACGGGCAGGTAGCCCACAGTAAAGCTAGTTCTTGTTTTACCCTCAATGCGGAGCTTGGTCTCATTATTGGGGGGGATTTATTACTGACGACTAGAGACTGCTGGATGGAATTATTAGCCGCTTGGGAGATATATGCGTTCGGCTACTATTGGCGATTCGTGAGTTTGGAGCTCGTGGAGTGAAGTGCCCGTACGGATCCTTGCTTGCGGTTCGCATGATTGTACTGGATACGCATGCAGCCTATGTTATTGCGAGAGGGGAGCATTCACTAAACGGCGGTTTGTACATTTAATGCTGAGGGTACCGTAACACTGGGGTACTTGTGAGACATCGCTGAACACAAATATGATTGTTTTAGAGCAGTAAAATGTATAATTATGATATCATCGATGAAAGGGCTGTTTTGTGTGAAAAATGCAAAAAAACTAATATTCTAACTGTATGAAATGAGGGGGTAATTCTCATTCCTAGGCTGCCATAACGTGCAAAATGCAACATGTGTAAAAATTGAAATGGGCAAGCTCTTTATTTGATCCTGTAACTTTTCAAAACACCATAAAACCTGTACATGGTGGGCATTGTTGTACATGTGAGACATCGCTGAATAAAAATGTGTATTTTATTGCAGTAAATGCTAACAGTATTATGACATTCACAGTTAGAATTCCATGCAGAACTTGGAAAATAGCAAATTTGCTTAATTTCTCACGCTTTTTTATATTTTATTCATATTCAATTTCATATATAAATATTTGATGTAAAATAAAAGCCCTATTTCTCCTGAGCAAAATTATATATAATAAGTGTGGGTGCACTTAATATGAAAGAGGTAAATTGTGGTTGAACAGACATTCAGTTAAAATTCTTAGATTTGTTTTTATGCGGACTTGCACAAGTGCCTCTGTCCTTAAGGGATCATTTTAAGAAACTTAATATAATGTTTATAATACACCATCTCTTTTTTTAAATTTATGTTTATTGAAATTTTCTAATTAATAAAGAAATTTCTGAACTAAGACATTCGCCCACCTTTCCCACTCTCCGTTTCTGACAGCTTTCTTTATACAAATTGGGACTGTCAGTTATCTGACTCAATGCCAAATCAAAAATTAAGAGATTCTATTTTATGAAAGAAAGATTATATTAAGATGTTAAAATGGCTCCTCAACCTTTTCGCACCCAAGGCACAACAAAGCACTTCCCAGAATTATGCAGCATCCCACAAGCAAAAAAATATATTAAAAAAATAGGAGTAATAAAGTGCATACACAGAACAGTGTCACTTTGCCCAACAGAACATGACACAGTCATTTTGCCAATTAATAAATATCATAGTCAATTTGCCCATTAATAAATATCAGAGTCAGTTTGCCCATTAATAAATACCATAGTCATTGTGCCCATTAATAAATATCAGTCAGTTTGCACCTTAATAAATATCACAGTCACTGTGCTCATTATTAAATATCACGGTCAGTGTGCCCATTAATAAATACCACATTAAGTTTGCCCATTAATAAATCTCACAGTCAGTGTGTCTGTAGTATGAGAGAGAGAGTTTGCGGGGTAGGATGGGGACTGAGTTCTGCAGGGGCTGAGAGGGGAGCAGCTTTTTATGTTTATGTGTGTATATATATATATTTTTTATTTTTATTTTATTTTTAATTTTTTTTATTTTATTCTTTTTTTTTTTTTACATTTATTCCTCCTTCCTTGTTTCTTACCTGTGTCTGGGAATGGAGGAACAGCATATTGTCTGGTGGCTCTGTAGAGGCTCTCTGACTGCCCCTTAGGCACTGCCGGATAAAGGTTATTCTCACAAGCCCTGGCACATGGTATCGACCGTGGTAACCGCAGCAACGATCTGAAAGCCGAGACTCAAACCAGCCACAGAGGTGAAGGCTCAGAGCCTCCTGCCCCCCTTTTTGCTGCACAACTTTGCAAAGACCCAGTGAGGTAGATATCTTTGATCTCCCTTACCGGGTCTGTGTGTATGTAAGTGGCCCGGGCCACTTTGGATACAGGGCCCAGGCTTGGCGGGCCTACTGGTACCCCTACCCCTTACAAACATAAAATTTAGCGTGACCTAGCAGAGTGCCATAGCACACCAGTTGCAGGGCACTGCTTTAAAAGATGATAATCCTTAAATAAACGGATACCTTAACTTAAATGTATTGTGAATTAAATGTATTCGTAGCAAGAGAAACTTTCTCATTTCAAACAAGAGAAATCTGTTCTGACATGTTCTTTGAACTTTTACTACAGACATTAATTCTCTCTGACCTAGATTTTTCATAAGAATGCATTTAATTATAATATAATTAATGATATAATTGTAACCAGCCTGTATCTAGAACTAATCTAATGTTTAAATATAATACACCGTGTATTATTATATATTATTATTATTAAGCTGTATTACTAAGAATTAGTTTAAGAGTAATCATCAGATTAGTTTAATAAGATATTCACACATAACTATTACCAGGTATCTACTAATATTGTGCCTAATTAATGTACAAATTTGTATAATTATCAGTATATAAGCTTTTGATTAGTGAGGTTTTTTTTTGTTTTGTTTTTTAATAAAACAGCTTTCAATTTCTGAATACTGATGCACGTGTATCCCTTCCTTCTCTGAGTTATATTAGCTACCGGTTTAAGAGAATTAGAACAATATTAAGACATTCTTTAAGCAAGGAATGAAACTTTGTGTCATTCTCTGACTCTCTTTTCACTTCCGAAGGTGCACCGATAGTAGTAGGGAGAGAGAGGGTAAGACTTCGGAGGGGAGCAGGGAAGAGGATGACACTGGGATGGAGGTATGATGACACTGGCCTGAGGAGAGGAGAGGGAAGTGCGGAGATGGTGACAGTGGGTAAGAAGCTTGTTGATTCAAGAAGACATCTGACATTTGAATGCAACTTTGTAAATCCATACAATGTTTCGGCTCCCACAGGAGCCTTTCTCCTGAGGGAGCCGAAATATGGAAAGGTTTTCCAATAAACCTGTCTAACACCATCTGTATGTGTCCGTCTCAACTTATTTCATTATTATTGCTCTACTAAGGATGGTCCACCCTGGTCTGGAGTCACTATGGGGAAGAAACTGGAGTGCCACTCTATTTTTTTTATATTGCTTTGGTCTTATGTCAAGGTATTTATGGAACATGACCTTGGGCTTGTTACATGAGATTATTGTGCCTCTACAATCCCTTACATTAAAAGGGTACCTGGAAGGGGTCAATAAAAAAATATAAAATCTCATTGTGCTAAATACTTATTAATACATAAACAAAGAATGCACATATTACATAGGACATTAATAGACTGTTAAATATATATATATATATATATATATCATTGTTTTGGTGTTTTTCTTTACTCGGCAGCCTTAACACTTATATGTCTTATTTCCCCAAAAATCTTGCCACACGTTAATAAGTTCTTCTTTCTGATAGTGGTGAACTGTAATAAGTTTCTGAAATTTGCAGTGATCGTATGCAATCCTGCCCCCGACAAATACATTTTTTGGAGGTTTAGTTGGTGGAATGTTCATGTGATATAAGCAAATCCCCATAAAAGAATCTTCCATGGGAATTACCTTTATAATTTGCGCAATGTCATAGATCTTCTTTGCCATGTCTACTGAGAAGACATACGTGGGTCCTGAGCAGTAAGGAGGGTATGTGTCATTAGGATAGACTTCCACAGGTATGTACCATTTATATGCTTTACCTCTTAAAGGTCCTGTATTAGCAACTATATTCCCTGAAAAATAGTTAGTACGAACTGGCTTCTCTGGAAATAGGATTTGATGGACAAGATATTCTACATTTATAAATGTGTCACTGTCTGTTTTAAGCACATACCTGGCACTTGGACAGAATTGTGTCACCCACTGAAAGCCCATTAGGGATTTTATCGTTAAATTGTAATATTTGTCAAGAAAGTCCTGCTGAATAATGTCACCAAAAGTCTCACTCTCCTCTTCTAGCATTGTCTGTATTCTACCAGATGCAATAGAAGACATCCCGACCAGAAAAACTTTGACCACATCAATATTAATATAATTACTTTCATTGCCCCATGTTTGACGAATGGCATTGCGAGCTGCAACATCGTGGCAATCGCTAATCACTAAGATCACAAGGAATGGCTTCCGGTTTAAGCATTTGTCTTGCGAATTGATGAGAAACCTGTAGGGGTACGGGTATGGAGGTGCCAAAGGATGCCTAGTGGTTGAATTAAGGTGCTTTGCAATTGTGGTTTGTTCAGGAAATGGATTGCTTTTCTCGTGTTCTTGCGTCACTGACCGTTTGTTCATAAAATTAGTCTTCATTCCAAAGATAAAAAGCAGTCCAGGTAAGAAAATCAATAAAATACATAATCTATAACGTCGGTCTTTAACCATGTTGGCGTGAAGATAATGCTTGTAATTCTGTAAAAAAAAAAGTGAGAAACATTGTACTTAGGTAGAGAAAAACATGTAGTGTTTATATCAGACATAATATTTATGGAACTGGAAACATTTCCTTTGAGGTTATATACAAATAAAGATACTTAAGAATAATAAATAAAATAAATACATTTTAACTCCCTAACCACTTCATGCCCAAATCGAGTATAAACGTTTTTATTTTCATCTATTTTGCAGAATGAAATCTAGTCAATAAAGCCTTATTCACCATCATTTTTAGTCTAGTTATGATTACCAGCCTGGAAAGGAACACAATTCTATGACAGAAGTTAAAAGTTACTGAAATAATACTGAAATGTTTGCTAAAAATGTAAGCGCAGCTCCTGCATTCAAACAGTATAGGATTATTCAATGGGTCATATCATTCCTGCAATCAGGGAAAAAAGGAGGCGCAAATGATAAATATTACTATGGTAGTTTTAAAGCGACTGTCAACAAAAATAAACTGTACCTAATCTGCTTCTATATAGCTCCTTCTGTCTGAATCTGTTTTATTTATTCCTCAGTGCTATAGTTTTCATAAATATGGAAAAGTAGAGGCAGTGCTTAAAGTAAGGTTCTGTTTCAGTTGGTAAAAAGAACAAAACTGCTACACCCAGATAATGTATGGCACAAAGAAGTAAGGATGATAAATATAAATTTAGAAAATAAAAGATAATAAATATAAACTGTCAAGGAGAGGAGTATAATCAATACAATACAGGGGGGCATAAGGAAATGAAAACCAAGAGAAAAAAAATGACAAGTCCGTATTAAATAGCTTTATTTTATAAATATATGATTTAACTTAAAATTAAAGAGAAAGGGAGAAATTGTGAGCCAGATGATAAGATCTAGGGTACACTTTTAATGGGGGAAATCCCTAAAACGTAACTAAACTAGATGTCCTGGTATCAAGCAGGTCAGGCAAGAGACGATTGCCAGGGTTAAAGTTTGGTTCTTTATTGGTAACTTTTGACATTGTTACACACAATTTAGTATACCTAGCAAGCCAAAGAGGAAGAAGGGACTTATAAAGAGGAAGGTAAGAGAAAATGGGAGAACTGAAAAAAGAGATTTAGGCAATATGTCCCAGACAGGTATTTAACAAGATATATTTAGATAGAGAGAAAACCTATAGTTAAAAGTATATGCTTTTAGAGAGACAAGTAAAACAAAACAGAACCGTTTCAGAATTGTAAGTAAAAAAGATGTTTAGAGAATCAGCCTCCTTGTTTGGAAGACGCATTGATAATGCAGGTAAATTACACTTTGTAATTAAGGAATCTAGGATTACATGCAGACTTTCAGGATCCAAAATCTAATTTCGGAACTTTAGTCATTTCATTTAATTTTGTACCTGCAGTAACTATGTTTTGCCACTAGTGGCCTCCTTAACCACTAGGTCTGAACATTCTTTCACTCATCTTCACCTGACTGGACTAATTAATTATCCTACAAATGGCTACTCCCTGCTCATAATTTACATTAAAGTTGATAGTCAACCTGAAAATACTTGTGTTCCTGGCTCCTATGAACTTACCTGCTTTATTATCTACACTACCAAGCTTCTTTATTCCAAGCTGATCTACACAACAATTTTCTTTGCAGCCAAGCTTCTTTATATCAACTTGAAATACTCTACAAACAATCCTATTTTATCAACCTGAACTACACTATCAACCTGCTAGTGATACCAACCTGCTTTATTCGAACGTGATCTACTCAACCAACCTGCTTTGATACCAACCTGAACTACGATACTAACTCATATTGCAAGGAGTCATTTACCTGCTTTATTAGTGCTCCTTCCAACATGGGGCTGATACACTAAACTTCTATTTTATTTGGAATTCTGATACCTTTCCGTTCTGTTCTAATTTGCTTGTCTTTCTATATAGCCTATACTTTTAACTATAACTGTAACAACCTGTCTGGGGCATATTGCCTAAACATCTATTTCTGTTATTTCACCTTGTTCCTACTTACCTATAATTCCGCTTATAGGTTCTCCTTCAACCTTTCCTATAAATCCACTTACAGGTTCTCCTTCAACCTTACTTATAATACCGATTTATAGGTTCTCCTTCAACCTTGCTTATAATTCTGCTTACAGGTAGAGATGTCGTGAACCGTCCGCGAACTTCTCGCGAACGGCTCGTGGCGAACTCCGGTCAGCTGACACGTCCCGGCCAATCTCCAGCAGACCCTCCCTCCCAGACCCTCCTACTTCCTGGACAGCATCCACGTTTCAACATGGATGCTGTCCAGGAAGTAGGAGGGTCTGGGAGGGAGGGTCTGCTGGAAATTGGCCGGGACGTGTCAGCTGACCGGAGTTCGCCGCGAACAGCTTGTGGCGAACCGTTCGTGAGAAGTTCGCGGACGGTTCGCGACATCTCTACTTACAGGTTCTCCTTCAATCTTACTTATAATACCGATTTATAGGTTCTCCTTCAACCTTTCCTATAATACCGATTTATAGGTTCTCCTTCAACCTTTCCTATAATACCGATTTATAGGTTTTCCTTCAACCTTTCCTATAATACCGATTTATAGGTTTTCCTTCAACCTTTCCTATAATACCGATTTATAGGTTTTCCTTCAACCTTTCCTATAATACCAATTTTATAGGTTCTCCTTCAACCTTTCCTATAATACCGATTTTATAGGTTTTCCTTCAACCTTTCCTATAATACCAATTTTATAGGTTCTCCTTCAACCTTTCCTATAATACCGATTTTATAGGTTTTCCTTCAACCTTTCCTATAATACCGATTTTATAGGTTTTCCTTCAACCTTTCCTATAATACCGATTTATAGGTTTTCCTTCAACCTTTCCTATAATACCGATTTATAGGTTTTCCTTCAACCTTACCTATAATACCGATTTATAGGTTCTCCTTCAACCTTTCCTATAATACCAATTTTATAGGTTTTCCTTCAACCTTTCCTATAATACCGATTTTATAGGTTTTCCTTCAACCTTTCCTATAATACCGATTTATAGGTTTTCCTTCAACCTTACCTATAATACCGATTTTATAGGTTTTCCTTCAACCTTTCCTATAATACCAATTTTATAGGTTCTCCTTCAACCTTTCCTATAATACCGATTTTATAGGTTTTCCTTCAACCTTTCCTATAATACCGATTTATAGGTTTTCCTTCAACCTTACCTATAATACCGATTTTATAGGTTTTCCTTCAACCTTACCTACAATACCGATTTTATAGGTTTTCCTTCAACCTTTCCTATAATACCGATTTATAGGTTTTCCTTCAACCTTTCCTATAATACCGATTTTATAGGTTTTCCTTCAACCTTTCTTATAATACCGATTTATAGGTTTTCCTTCAACCTATGAGGAAGGCCCCATTGAGGGCTGAAACGCGTTTGCTCTATTTTGGACTTTTATTGGGACTTTTTCTTGTTGGCGGTATTTTTATATTGTATATACATTTTAGTATTTTCACTGCTTTTATCCTTGGCCAGATTTGCGATGTGATACTGTGTTATACTTATTTTATTTATACTTGCCTCATACTTGTCCCTATTGGATATCTATATTAAATAAAAATATTTCACATTTTTATTTCTTCGTGGAAATCAAGTTCTTCACAGGAAGTTTATCGAGAGCCTGGATAGGCACCCAAGGGCGATATACACAGAGCCTATTAGGCTCCAGCCTTGTGAGTTTATTCCTCATATATTTTATACATTGTGTATTTGTTTATATGGAAAACACTATGTGTATTTTATTTGTTTTACAGGTGTAATGATTATACCCATATCTGTTATAGGTGGTATATTTACATACTGTAATTTTTAGTGTGTGTGAATCCTTTTATTCTTTTACGCTTTTTTAAACAACACACCTTTAATGAAAACAATGGGAAATATCAAATAATTTTGGCTAAAGCACTGGAACGCTTCTCCTTTGGGTGTATGATATTAATGATTTCATGCAGGCAGGGCCGACGCGTTCATAAGGCGGCACAAGTGGCCGCCTTAGGGCACACCGGCCCGGGGGCGCTAGATTGGAGTGACCGGCAGCATGGGCGTCAGCAGGAATTTTTCCAGGGGGATGGGGGGGAAGCATAATTGTAATAACATCCATGCTTGGTACCTTTTTGACAGTGTCATGAAAGGGAAGGGGCGTAGCCATTATCACATAAAGCCAGGGTGAATAGTGTTTTCACAACTATGGTGTCAGGAATATATGTTTGTATTCCTGACACTATAGTGTTCCTTTAACCCCTTAAGGACACATGACATGTGTGACATGTCAGGATTCCCTTTTATTCCAGAAGTTTGGTCCTTAAGGGGTTAAGCAAATTAAAGGACCATTCTGGTCACCATAACAACTTCACCTAAATGAAAATGCTATGATGCCAGGAAGCCCCTGGGTGCTCGCTTTCCTTTAAGGGGTTAAATCACTCTCAAATGGTTTAACCCCAAAGGCTTCCTCCAGCTCCAGGTCGCTCAGTGGTATTTGGCTTATGAAACAGAGTGTCAGGAAGTGCAGATTGACGTCAGGCATAGGTGCCGCTGATTGGCTAGAGTGGACAGTTGACGCTCTAAGCCAATCGCTAGTTCCCGGTTCATAAAATAGTTTTACTTTTTTCTGAATGGGGAACTACTGATTGGCTTAGAGTGCCAGCTGACCGCTCTAGCCAATCAGCAACACCCCTACCCAACGGCACTCTGTGCTTCCTGACACTCAGTAAAAAAAAAAAGTGAACACATTAATACTGATATTTTTTACCTTTGGAGATGAGAAGGTCCAGCGTTTCCCTGCCTGGCCCAGGTACCAAAGCCTTATGATGTGGTGTCCAGAATAAAGTGGAGGGTTCACTTCATTTGTCCTTCCTGCTCCAATCTCCTTTTCCTCTCCTTCATTTGACAGTCTTTTTTTTTTCTTCTGACACTGTTTTCTATCCTTGGCCCCTTCTGCTCTTTTACCTTTCTGCTACTTTCTGCTTATTTTGCGCCCTTCTGCTCCTTTCTCATTCTGATCCCTTTCTGCTCCTTGCAGACCCTTTCTGCTCCCTTTTCTACTTTACCTTTGTGCTCCTTGCTGTCCCTTTCTGCTCCTTCTCCTACTTTACCTTTGTGCTCCTTCTGATTCTTTCTGCTCCTTTACCTTTGTGCTCCTTCCTGCTCCTTGCAGGCCCTTCCTGCTCATTCTCCTATTTTACCTTTGTGCTCCTTCTGCCCCTTCCAGCTCATTTCTGACCCTTTCTGCTCCTTCTACTTTACCTTTGTGCTGCTTTACCTTCCAGCTCCTTGCTGACCCTTCCTGTTCATTTCTGTTCCTTTGTGCTTCTTCTCCTACTTTACCTTTTGTGCTCCTTGCTGTCCCTTCCAGCTCCTTGCTGCCCCTTTCTGCTCCTTGATGTCCCTTCCTGCTCATTTCTGTTCCTTCTCCTTTTCTTACTTTACCTTCCTGCTCCTTCATGTAGGCTGTCACCCCCATCCCTCACTTCCATAGGCGTGCGCACGGGGTGTGCCTGGGCACCCCCTAATACCCGCGGCAGGGGATTGAGACCGGCAGGGGAGATCTCTGGATCGCCCCGGTCGGCTCATGCAGAGCCGACGCTATCTGAGCGGCGGCTCTGGTCTAAGCCTCCATGGGCCGGTGGGGAGATCAAAGTTCTACCTCACCGGTCCACAGCAGCATGGAGGAAGGCAGCAGAGAACCTGGGCTAGAGTTCACTTTCCACTGAACCACCAGGAAAGGCAGCAGGACTGGGATATTAACTAATCTGCCCCCACCTCCACCCAAACATACAGCACACACAGACACACAGCACCTACACACAGCAGACACAGCCCACCAACAGCACCCACACACATACATCACCCTCGCGCACACACAGCACCCACACACACCCAGCACACTAACAGCATCCTCACAAACACACTAAACCCACACACAACACCAGCACCCGCACACGCAAACAGCACCCTGACAAACACACAACACCCACTTCGCTGAACTCAAATATTAGTGTTTCAAAAGGATAAATTGTATTACAACGATGATATTTTAAGTAAAAGTGACGTTTTTTGCATTATTTACAAACGAACGGCACTTTTATGAACTATATTATTGTTGTAATATGTTTTACTGTTAAAACACTAATATTTGTGTTTAGTGAAGTCTCCCGAGAATAACAGTACCCCCCATGTACAGGTTTTATGGTGTTTTGGAAAGTTAGAGAGTCACATATAAGGCTTGCATTTCATTTTTTTCACATTGAAATTTGACAGATTGGTTATGTTGCCTTTGAGAGCATATGGTAGCCCAGGAATGAGAATTACCCCCATGATGGCATACCATTTGCAAAAGTAGAGAACCCGAGGTATTGCAAGTGGGGTATGTCCAGTCTTTCTTAGTAGCCACTTAGTCACAAACACTGGCCAAAGATTAGTTTTTTGCTTTTTTCACACAAAAACAAATATGAACGCTAACTTTGGCCAGTGTTTGTGACTAGGTGGCTACTAAAAATGACTAAACATACCCCACTTTCAATACCTTGGCTTGTATACGTTTTCAAATGGTATGACACTATGGGGGTAATTCTCATTCCTGGGCTACCACACTGTCTCAAAGGTAACATTACTAATCTGGCAAATTTCAATTTGAAAATGGAACGTTCTATATTTGACCCTGTAACTTTCCCAAACACCATAAAACCTGTTAATGGGGGTACTGTTGTACTTGTGAGACATCGCTGATTACAAATATGTGCATTTTTGTTTGCAGTAAAACCTAACAGTATTATGACATTAACAGCTAAAATGTCAGACGGAAATACAAATTTTAAAAAAATCTTATTTTCTCAAATTGTTTTAAATTTTATTCATAATAAAAATTATGTTCCATATATGAATAGTTAATGATAAATTAAAGCCCTGTTTCCCCTGAATAAAATGATATATAATAAGTGTGGGTGCATTTAATATGAAAGAGGTGAAAAACGGTTGAACAGACATATAGCGCAAATTCCAGGTTTTGTTTACGTTTTGTTGATCAGAACGTGTACTATTGACTCCGTCCTGAAGGGGTTAATTCTACGTGACATTTTAACTGTGAATGTCAAAATATTGTTTGCTTTTACTGCAATAAAATACAAATATTTGCAGCCAGTGGCGTACACATGACCCATGGGGCCTCGGTGCGAAAATTGATCAGTGGGCCCCCCCCCCCGCGCGCGGGCCGGGCCGCAACACATGGCGGTGGGCACCTGGTCGCAGGGGTTACAGGGCTTCGACCCCTGCGACCTCGGTATGTACGCCAGTGCATGCAGATGCACACACACTTAAAGGACCACTACAGACACCCAGATCACTTTAGCTCAATTAAATTGTCTGGGTGTCAGGTCCCTCTAGTTTTAACCCTGCAGCTGAAAACATAGCAGTTTCAGAGAAACTGCTATGTTTCAATGAGGGTTAATCCAGCCTCTAGTAGCTGTCTCACTGACAGCCGCTAGAGGAGCACACTGAACGTCCATAGGAAAGCATTGAGTAATGCTTTCTTATGGGCGGTTTGAATGCGTGCGCGGTCGCATTCGGAGCTGAGAGGCTGAGGGATCCTCAGCGCCAATGGAGTCCGGCGCTGGAGAAAGGTAAGTGCTGAAGACACACACACACAAACGCATACACACTAGCTAACAGAGACACACTCAGCGACAGACATACATACACACTCACTTACAAAACATACACTCTCATTGACAAACACGCACTCACTAACAGACATCAAACAGACTCACTAACACACACACTCAGTAAGACACACACACTAACACTCACACTCACTCTAACACTCACACTAACACTCACTAGCAGACACACACACTAACACTCACTCTAACACTCACACACACTAACACTCACACTCACTAGCACTCACTAACACTCACACACACTAGCACTCACTAACACTCACACACACTAGCACTCACACTAACACTCACTAGCAGACACACACACTAACACTCACACTAACACTCACTAGCAGACACTCACTCTAACACTCACTAACACATGTTTTTTATTTTATTTAATCCCCCCAGCCTCCTTACCTTTTGGAGTGCTGGGGGGATTCCCTGGGGTCCAGTGGTGCTGCTGCTGGGCTCCTGGGCGAGTGGCCGGTCGGTCGGTCGGTCGGGCAGGCAGGCGGGCGCGCGAGGGAGCACTCAGTGCTTCCTCTTCAGCTCCCTCGCGCGCCGCGTAGGGATGCCGGCGCCGGAAGATGACGTCATCTTCCGGCTCCGGTATCAGTGCGGTGCGCGAGGTTGCTGAAGAGGAAGCACCGAGTGCTCCCTCACGCGCCTGCCTGCCCGACCGCCTGCCGGGTGACAGCAGGGCCAGCCTCGGGGGGCCCTGGGGTGGTCGGCTCCTGGGCTCCCCAGGGGAAGATGCTGGCCCTGTGGCTACATACCGGGTCGCAGGGGCGGCCGGGCCCCCTGGTGGGCCGGGCCCAGTCGCAGCCGCGACCCCTGCGACCCTGGTATGTACGCCACTGTTTGCAGCGATATCTCACGTGTAAAACAGTACCCCCTATGTACAGGTTTTATGGTGTTTTGGGAAGTTACAGGGTCAAATATGGCATGTTACATTTTTCATTTTTTTCACATTGAAATTCGCCAGATTGGTTACGTTGCCTTTGAGACCATATGGTAGCCCAGGAATAAGAATTACCCCCATGATGGCATATCATTTGCAAAAGTAGACAACCCAAGGTATTGCAAATGGGGTATGTCCAGTCTTTTTTAGTAGCCACTTGGTCACAAACACTGGCCAAAATTAGTGATAATATTTGAAAATACAAAAAACGAATTTGAACCCAATTTTGGCCAGTGTTTGTGACTAAGTGGCTACTAAAAAAGACTACACATACCCCATTTGCAATACCCTGGGTTGTCTACTTTCGCAAATGGTATGCCATCATGGGGGTAATTTTCATTCCTGGGCTACCGTACGGTCTCATAGGCAACATAACCAACCTGGCGAATTTTAATGTGAAAAAACTGAAACGCAAGCCTTATATTTGACTCTGTAACTTTTGAAAACACCATAAAATCTGTACATGAGGGGTACTGTTATACTCGGGAGACTTCGCTGAACACAAATATTAGTGTTTCAAAACAGTAAAACGTATCACAACAATTATATTGTCAGTGTAAGTGCCATTAGTGTGTGAAAAATGCAAAAAATGTCACTGTCACTGACGATATTGTCGTTGTAATACATTTTACTTTTTTGAAACACTAATATTTGTGTTCAGTGAATCATGAACAGGTTTTATGGTGTCTTGGAAAGTTACAGGGTTAAATATAGTGCTAGCAAATTAAATTCCCTTTACTTTCGGCATGGGTTGTCAGGCAGGTCCTGCAAATTGTAATTAATAAAATGACCTAATTATGTAAAATTATTACATACATATATACGTAGAATTATTATATATATATATATATATATATATATATATATATATATACGTGTGTATATATGTGTGTAGATATATATGTATATCATTTTTTTAAATGATTTTTATTTATATATAGGTATACATATAGTGATATATACGTATATACTTATTTATATAGATATATATTATTTCGTTCTACATGTATTTTGATATCTATATATATATTAATTTTAAAATACAGTTAGAACGAAATTACACATGTATATATATTTTTTATTTTTTATTAGTTTTTTTAATTTTATTTAACGTATTTACATATTTATTTTTATTATATAGAAATATATATATATATATAATGAAAATTATATATATATATTTAATCAATATCATTGTACGTGTATTTTGATATTAATGTTTATATAATTATATATATTAATATTAAAATACGCTTAGACAGTGTATGTGTACATATGTATGTATGTGTGTGTGTGTATATATATATATATATATACTTAGATCATACATATAATAAATATAATATATATGATCTAAGTATATATAATTAAATTTGACACTGTATTAACGTTTATTCTATTTTCAGACAGCAGGGGGACTAGCTGTCATTACAGGCACTCCCCCTGCTGGCAATGCCTTGGACTGCTATGCCGTCCATGTGATCGTGAGGTCCTCGCAAGGACCTCGCGATCACATGGCCCAGGAGGGCTGTAGAGGACGGAGGGGGACTCCCTGGGCTCCCAGGTGAGTCTCCATACCGGGATCGCAGGCGTGGGAACGCCAGCGACTGGGTAAGTACATAAGATCGCAGGGCCATCTAAATAAGGACGGCATAGAACGCCCTGCGGTCTTAAGGGGATAAAAAAAACTATTGTCACGTAGTTGGCTCCAGCGCTGATATACCTCTGTGCTGGCGCAGGTCTGGCTCCCCTTCTCGTTCGGGGAGAACTAATGCGCATGCACGCCAATGGCTGCGCTCCCATTAGGATATCCCCATAGTAATGCATTATTCAATGCTTTTAAATCACGTAAAATGTAAGGTTATTATTTTAAATTATATATACTTGTAAATATCTCTCTTAAGCCAGTTTGAGTGCTGTATCATAAGCTTATTTGTACATACGTTTTGAGGTAGTTGGAGTGGGCTACCTAGATATCCAGCACTTATTTGAATGGAAGAGTGCCAGTACACATTCTTGATTTTTGTATTATTTTAAATTAGTTTGTCGCTTTAATAGTTAATCTGCCTTTCCTTATACCTTATTATCTTACTGTTCTGCACTATTTGCACTGGCATTTTTTGTTTTAGGTTATTGAACTAAGAAGAAACCAGTTGTAACGGACCGTTTTGCTCAAAAGGGAAAAAAAACGCTTAGACGATAATCCCCTTTCAGAGACAGGCACAGCTACTGTAGAATCACCAAAACTCACGAATTGAATACAAGTGAATGCACCAAACACCCGAACTGCATACAAGGGAATGCTCCAAACACCCGAACTGCATACAAGGGAATGCTCCAAACACTCGAACTGCATACAAGGGAATGCTCCAAACACTTGATCTGCATACAAGGGAATGCTCCAAACACTCGAACTGGAACCTCACGAATAGCTGCTAGCAGACGAACAGGAAAAGCACCCAAGCGGCTTACACTCCTGGCAATCAGTCTCTATCAGCATACAGTAAATCCCCCCAAAGACAAGACAGAGCTCTGTGTTGAGGGTCAAGCAGTGGTCTGTTTAATGAGGGCTACCTGCCCAGTATTTATGCAGGTCTCCCACCTGGTGGACACTCCCCTAGGGGACCAGATGGAAGACTGTAACAAAAGACAGACATGTACCAATTACAGACATACAGAAGTAAAACATCCCCACGATGCATCCTGGCTTCCTCCCCTCTGCCTTGGAGAAGTAATTCAATTATCTCCCAGGACAAAGGCAAAACTCCATTACACATGTGGGGACACAAAGACAGACTATCACTTTAAAATACATAATGGGACAAATGGTACAGTAAATATATACATGTAACATATCCCCAGATAGCTCAGGTCTGAGTGCACATTATTAGGTGGATGGCACTCAGACCACACGAATACAGTTTAATTGCCATGGAGCCAAAGTCTTTAATTCCACAAACAGGCTCCATGGCATAGCTATCTGGGTTAAAACATTCCTCCAACATAAAATACCGAATTTACATGCATTCGTTAAATCCGTACGAATTAGAACCAGGGGTTGGAGGTTCAGCAGTGCCTGCACGTAAAAGTGTCCGAGTTTGGTGCAGGAAAGCCGGGCAGAAAAGCGCTGGCTGCCCGGGGAGCTCCAGAACACCGCCATTGTGTGGCGGCTAAGTGTAACCGCGACCACCCAGTAACAATCAATTAAGCTGCGGTTAACCGCAGCTACTGGGTGGTCAATTGCCGGCACACGCTCGTTAAGCCGCGGTTAACCGCGGCTTCAGGGAGGTAAATGGAGGGCGCACTCCAGCTTCTGGGTGGCCAATTAACGGCGCCGGCCGGCTTCCCACGGCTCTGGGGAGGCTGATAGAAGTCTGTTTGTTCGGTAGATAGAATCTACCGAACGGCTGTGCAGAAAGGGAGAGATAAACCCTTCTGCACAGTAAAATTAACCCTTTAGCTGCCGGTCCATAATCCAAAGGCAGCAGGTGGGCAACCAGGCTCCTCCAATGCAATGTGGCGAGATTGGTCTCGTCACACCAGTTTTCTAAGTGTTTATTTTTTGGGGGGAGTTTAAAATGCACAGTTTAGAGAATATATTTTATTTCTTTAGTACACAGAGTTTATTCCCGACTTTTAAGATATACACTTTGAGATTTATACACTTTAAAATGTTGCGATGTGCAGTGGTGCAGCAAGTCCTGAAACTGTTAAAATAGGGTAAGTTTTCAAAATCACGTAGGATATTATTCATGTCCTACTTGTTTCTTTTTCTGATTTATCTCTCACTTCTTTTTTTACATTTTAGTTTTTTTAATTATCTTTTTTTTTTTTATTATCACTTAAATATATATATTCGGACGTATAGCTTGAGTGAAAATGCAATCCAATGAACTGATTTATGGGTTGCTGATTAAAAAATAAACGCCTTCCTGATCACACTGTTCTGATAGTGACCTTCATTTGTTCTCAAGTACATCTCCATTCCTCTGGAATGCCCTACTGGTCCTAGCAGACCTCCCTCTAGTCTTCACTAATGTGAATATTGTGCACAGTACTCACCCTCCGGTGCTTTAATAGATCACTTCTTCATCTGGGAATACAGTAGAGCAATCAAGTAATTATATCGCTAAGAAGAATTTGTGAAAGATTATCCCCTTTCGGAGTAATCTCTTGCTTTAAGCCAGTCTGTTCTGTCTCTTTTCACTGTTAGTCTCCTGTCCTTTCACCTCTTCACTCTAATTCTCCTGACGGCACTCCCTTTTATATGTTAGCTAGACAGGTGTCACACCTTCTGACACGTACCTATTCTTCTTGTATTTCATTATACTTTCCTCTAGTTTGTAATCTTAATTAAGTTAAGCCTTTCTTGTCTCCTCTCCTATCACTTGCATTTTTGTAATTTATTTTCTGTCAAACATAAAATAAAAATATCATAAAAGTAATATAATTTCAATTTACAAAGTAAACAATTTATACTTGTTGGTGTCTTTGTAAATCTTGTGTAATGTTAGCAACACATTTAAGAAGCCTGAAAACGGATTTCTGGATCTGTTTATGAACAATGAGCAGAACAGAAAATTAGCCCTAAATGCTAAATTAAAGCTTGAATACACCCAGTCGTGACACCGCATGAAACAAATCATACCCTAGATGGCGATATAATCAAATCAAAGGTACATAGATCCGATGTACGTCCGCAGTGTTCTTTATTGAACATTATTACGGGTACTGCTAAGAAAGAAAAATGCAAATGCAGTCGTATAGTAATATATTAAGTATGTTGACATTATATATTAAAAGGCTAAGTTTCACAGATAATTGTAAAAAATAATTTAAAAAACCTACAAAATTCTGGAGAAAATGTTTGTAAAAGAACTTGGAGTGAAATTGTTAATATTAGAGGAGTATATTTCATAGAGCAGTGGTAACTTGTAAACTTTAGAGTTCTACCTGTGGCACCAAAAAAGAGATGATTGATGTCTAAGGGACAGCCACTAAATGTTCCGTGAGCCAAATAGCAGGAAAATGTGCCTATCGGTGTACTGCAAAATATTTACATAATATTTTTATATTATTATAACTATATTATTATTGGTCCATTTTCATGCCCTCTTTTGTTGCTCCAAATTGTTTTCCAGAATATTTTTCATTGGTGAAATTCGGACGAGCCATCAAATGAACAAGTGTTGGAGGTTCCGAACTAATGTCATTAAAAAAAATAATTTTTGTCTAAATGTTTTTTCTAAATTGTGCATCAGACATTTTTTTTTTTTTTAGTTATAGATTTCTTTTTTCTAAATTGTGCATCAGAGTATCATTAAGTTACATAAAATGCAGTTGGTTAGAAATAGAAATTTGTTTTGTGATGAAAAAAATAAATAAAGATTGTCACCAAAAAATT